ATGTTTTTAACCTACTTTAAGGGAACCAACTTTGCAAGTTCTTTTTGGGTATTGATTGTCCTGGGGTAAAGAGGACTGACTGTCAACATCTCAGTTTGTTCTCGTTCTCTCTCTCTCTCTCTCTCTCTCTCTCTCCCCGCCCCCGACCCTGCTTCATTTTACTTCTAATTCTGGTGTCTAAAAACCCAGAATTAAAACTCTGATCTCCTCCTCTTTGCTTCTCCCTGAACCACGTCACGAATTTGTAAACGTACATCAACCTCATTTTTAGAGTAGCCCATGACAATAGCAACTCTCAACCTTTGTTCCATCCAAATACACACGATGAATGACTTCCATATTCAACATGAGCAACCCAAGTTGATTGTAATCCCTGTCACTAGATGTAACTCCTTCCCTTTCCTTCTGACTCTGGAGAGCAAACCAGAATGCAAAAGAGTGTAATTATTCTAGAGTTAGGAATCTTCTGTTTTTTTTTCATTTAATAACCTCATGATTGTCTGTAAAAATCTCTTTTCATAACAATAGTTGAAAGCCAATCACTGCCCATAGTTCTCTGGGAGGTAGTTGTAACTGAGTCCCAATCACTTGAAAGTTATTACACAAATTTTTTAAAAAATTACTTTGGTCATTCCACTTTGAGTGGGTGACACTTGACAGCAAGCCATGTGTGCAATAGACACACACAAGTGTCCACAGACCTGGATGCTGTCTGCATTGAGAATAACTCCAAATGAGACTTCAGAAAGAGAAGATGGGAGGTCTGGGGAAAGACTTGCTTGAAAGGAAGTCTCATTTTGCACATCCTCAACATTCAAGGGATGGCACAGAGAACCAAATTATCAGTTCCTTTTCTCCAGGAGAGGCAGAAATCCAGACCAGCAACCTCTGTTCTGACATCGGACAAATATTACCATGCCACCCTGGCTGTAGCCTTGAAACAGGAACCAAGCCTAGTACTGATTTCTCACCAGATTGACAAGAGGCAAGACAAGCACTCCTGTTTCCAGGAATGTGCACTTCTGCATCATTATCGTTTCCTCCTGTAAATTGCTTGAGAGCTAGTAGGCACCCCAGCCTCTCTTTCTCTCCCAGAGTTCCCAATTTGTTTTCCTTATTTGCCAGCCCAGCACCTCGGCTAGACTGAGGCACAATAGTGAAAGATGAAGAGAGGAAAATTAATATTTTCTATATAGGCTTCTATAGCTTGGGTAGATTTATGAATTTTGTTTCTGTAATGCAGAAGTTAGCATTTTTAACAATGAGGGGGGAACAGTCTTGTTTTCTTTATTGCCTCAAGAGCTCCAAGGACTACTTGTGATATGTCATCATTTACATTTCACATTAAATTTAAAATATGTTTGAAATGAATAAATATTTATTTTAATTTGATCCATCTGTGAAACGAAATACCAAAAAGACAGGTAAATCACTATATTAAATTCAGCGATTTGTAAGCAATTTATGTGTTCATTTGTTCTGGGTTAAAAATGCCCCAAAGCACAAGTTTTATAAAACTCACAAAGTAAATTGCATTGTATTAATCTGATGAATGCCAGCCATGATTCCTTCCTCTTCACTCCATTAATTTATTTCCTAACTTGAATTAATTAGTGAGGTTCCTATTTTTAAAAGCTCTTTGAAATTCATTGGGAGAGGAGGACATTTGCGAGAACTGCTTTGAAAACCTACCACAGAGAAAATGTGCTAAACACAAATGGAAAACTCCCCCAGGACATTGTCACACATTGAGCACCTGATTGCCATTCAACAATCTTTATGCCGGGAACACAGTGGGTGATTAATATACAGTTGGTATAGGAAAGGAGGAAAGAACTAGAAGGAAAGAATGAGAGCAGCAGCAAGAACAAACTCATTCCAGGCAATTACTAATGGGATGAGATGATTGCCAAGGTCCTATCCATCTCTAAATAAAAGTCTGTGACATTCTGATTTTATGCTGCAAATGGAGACTGACTTTAACTTGAAACACCCACTGCGGGGAGAACAGACGTCTACTCAGAGAAATACAGAAAACACAGAGATTGCCCAGAGAGTAATGATAAATCAATGATTTTCCCTTTGGTGAAAGGCAGCCTTAATTCCTAAGTTAGACTGGGAGGTAGTTGAAGGCCACTTGTTAATACATGTCTACTCCCTAATCCTTATCCACTCATGCCAGTCCTCCCCATTCAAAAAAAAAAAAAAAAAGTTGTGGGGGGGATTTAATTAACCACACTAAAGTATAAACTGAGCTTATAATTTAAGATATGCTTAAGGGAATACTTTTGGAGGACAGGAGAACTAGCCTTTTAACAAACATTCAAGCTTTAAGCAAATGCAATGTCCATTTTTTCGTGGAACATTTTGAGTAGTAGCAGCCAGTAGGTGATAGACTGAGTTGGGTGCCCTTCCCAAGTCTCGAGATAATGTTACCTATTCCAACTTCCAGAAAGGCTGGCCCTAGGAGGCAGCAACACCACCAGGCTTACCTACGCTTGTCAAAGTCCTGCCTTGTTTCATTTTCCTTTTACCACATGCCTGTGAAAGTCATGGACAGACACGCATTTCCCTGCCCTGAAAAACACAGCGAGAATCTTGGAGCTGCACTTAGGTGATTCTGAACTAGGTCTTCTCTAAGTCTCAGATTTCTCCTCTAGAAGATGGAAATAACGCTCACCTGGCACAGCCCCTAACACAGAGTAGCATCCAAATATTCTCATTTTGCGAGAAGGAGAGTAAAGTTGAGTCAGCTGGTCTCTGCCAGAGCTGTCAAGGCCCAGCCCCTGGGGGCACAAGGTAAGGGCATCATCCACCTCTTCTATGGCTGCCTCTGAGTACTTTGAAATTCATTAGAGCAATTATTTCAAATTGAATTAAAAGGTTTTAAAATTAGACCCTAAACTTTTAACAATTAGTGACCCACTAGAAGCCAGGGACTGGCCTGAGACAAGACCCAGGTCTTTCTGTCACTCTCCAAGTACCTTCCAACCCTCTCTCATGTCTACCTCCTCTCCCTGGAACCTGCTGCCCGGTTGCCCACACTAAAACAAACAGCACCATGATTTATTCCTTTTCCTGATGCCACGGGGGACAGGGTAGAGGTTAGAAGGGGAAATGTGTGTTATATCTAATATCTACTCCTTGACTCACACTCACACACCCACAATGGATCCTTTTTACCGTTTCTGCTAAAAAATATATTTTTAAACCCTTTGCTCACACACATTTCCTGTGTCTCCATTAAAGCTTTGTCTCCCAGCGACTAAGCCCCTCTTCTAAAGTCTTTGGGGTCATCAGATCTGTGGGGTCTTTTCAAATAGAGAAGGTATCAACATTAAATACTTGTATCACAACACTTTGGAGAGCAAGCCTAAGAACTGGGTATATGAGGAGATTATTCAAATCCTAGAAATCAGTGAAGCCAGATTTTCTGGATCAGATAAACAGGCCGTCCTGTTTCAGATAAACCTGTTTATCTGGAACAGGCCCACGGTGGCAGAAACCCAAGCCCTGGGGAGTGCTGTCTGAGAGCTCCCATGTCTTAGCCCATTCAAAAGTGGGCAAAGGATATGAACAGATACTTTACAAAAGAAGACATACATGAGGCCAACAAACATATGAAAAAATGCTCATCATCACCGGTCATCAGAGAAATGCAAATCAAAACAACATTGAGATACCATCTCACGCCAGTTAGAATGGCAATCATTAAAAAATCTGGAGACAACAGATGCTGGAGAGGATGTGGAGAAATAGGAACACTTTTACACTGTTGGTGGGAGTGTAAATTAGTTCAACCATCGTGGAAGACAGTGTGGCGATTCCTCAAGGACCTAGAAATAGAAATTCCATTTGACCCAGCAATCCCATTACTGGGTATATATCCAAAGGATTACAAATCATTCTACTATAAGGACACGTGCACACGAATGTTCATTGCAGCACTGTTTACAATAGCAAAGACCTGGAACCAACCCAAATGCCCATCGACGATAGACTGGACAGGGAAAATGTGGCACATATACACCATGGAATATTATGCAGCCATCAAAAACGATGAGTTTGGGTCCTTTGTAGGGACATGGATGAACCTGGGAACCATCATTCTCAGCAAACTGACAGAAGAGCAGAAGATCAAACACCACATGTTCTCACTCATAGGTGGGTGTTGAACAATGAGAACACATGGACACAGGGAGGGGAGCACTACACACTGGTGTAGGTTGGGGGGAAATAGGGGAGGGACAGTGGGGGATGGGAAGCTGGGGAGAGATAGCAAGGGGAGAAATGCCAAAAGGTGATGGGGAGGAAGGCAGCAAATCACACTGCCAGGTGTGTACCTATGCAACAATTTTGCATGTTCTTCACATGTACCCCAAAACCTAAAATGCAATAAAATAAATAAATGGGAAAAAATAAATAAAAAATAAAAAAGATTGGGTAGGAGAGGCTCCAAGGAATAAAAGACCAGAGCCCAAGAGTGTGTGTCCCTCACAGCCAGCTTTCTCCAACAGAGGAGAAAAATGGGAACAAAAGCTAATTGCCGGAGAAAGGCTTCCCGGAGTTAAGACAGAGCTAGATAAGACTGTCCCCTTTATCTCTGCAGAACTTGGTCTTTTGTAAAGGACTTTCACCCCTCTTGCATTATCTGATTTGTCTTTCATATTCTCTAATATTATTGTCCCCATTTTACCGAAGATTTTTTTGTGACTTGCCAAAGGTCATAGCAGTGATGTTCTGGAATGCACCCAGACTTTCTGATATCTGGTCTAGTGCTCTTTCACCATAACCCACCATGAATCCCCAAAACATAAAGAAATATCCAGAGACCCAGAGCAATGCCCTCATTCTGCTACAAGGCTCTTACACCTCAGTGAAATTCGGTGTACACTTCTAGGGCAAGACTTCCCCTGGAGAGGGTCACAGGCAGTGGCCCCGGGCAGGGGCGGGGAAAGGTTGGGAGGCTGCTGGCGCGTTGCCCCCCACCTAGGACTCACTCAGGAAGATGATGGTCTGCCTCCTGGCGGTCCTGCTCTCTTCGCTCTCGGACTTCCTCAGCTGCGGCCCCCGCGCGCCCCCGGCGAGCGTGCCCTGCTTGCTTTTCATGAGCACCTGCATCATATTCCAACACATGAAGGCTACGAAGAGCAGGACCACAACGTAGACCACGAAGGCGCCGAAGATGCTGGACTGGAACACGGTCCAGCGGCTGGAGAGGTTGGTACAGATGGACATATTGGAGGTCTCGGGCTGCTCGTGGTGGCGGGTGAGGGAGCGGTTGCAAGTGAGACCCCGGAGGCTGGGCACGTTCACCAGGGGGTACTCAGTACCCATGGCAAAAAGCAAGGGCAGTGCCACCAGGGCGGAGGTGACCCAGACGAAGGCAATCAGCAGCTTTACCTGGCAAGGTCCCGACACAGCCTTGTACCTAAAGGGATGACAGATGGCGATGTAGCGCTCAAAGCTGAGGGTCAGCACGTGCAGCAGCGTGGCGTAGCTGCAGGCCTCGAAGAGGAAAGTATGCAGCTTGCAGGGCAGGGTGTAGCTGGGCGTGGTCAGAGGGTTCCAGATGATGCTGTAGAACTCCACGGGCATGCCAATGAGGAACACCAAGATGTCCGAGCAAGCCAAACTCACCATGTGGTCCGTCACCTCCTTCTGCAAGTAGCCTTTCTTCTGCAGCACCTGGGTGACCCGAATGGTGACGCTGTTCCCCAGAATGCCCATCACGAAGATGACCAGGTACACCAGGATAAGGGTGATTTTGATCCAGGTGGCCACTTCAAACTCGGGGACATGGCTGTGATCGATGATATGGGAGCAGTCACTGCTGGGGAGGCTGGGTGAAGCCATAAGAGCGCCAGGCTACCCGGTCCAAAGACTCTCAGCTTCCCTTTCTCCTCCCAGCAGAGCCCTAAGTTCTCGGCTGCAGACTCACCTGAGTGGGCGCACGACTTTATCTCACTCGAGTTCTCCTGGCAAACGTAACTTAGTATTTCAGGTGCTTTCACGGAAGCTTCCTGGAGCAGCCCAACCTAGGAGAGGCCCAGGAGGCGCCTGGATGTGGGGCTTTGGAAGTGTGCGTAGCGGGGGCGAGGCGGGGAGAGGGCGAAGGAAGAACGTTCTCAACTCCAGGCTGGCTGGGAGTGAGACCCGCAGCCCCCGGCGTTGCGCCTCTGCCCCTCTTCGCCCAGGGTGCGCTCCGCCTCGCAGCTCTCTTCCCTTCCAGCTGCCGGCACTTGTGGGCCTCGGGCCACGCTCCCGGAGCACCCTCGCCGGAGCTGCGGGAGGCGGGGTGGTCAGCGATTAATCATTAACCACAGCTGACTGTGCTCTGCCGGCCCGCTGCAGACCTAGCCCAGCGGCGGGGTTTGACTCAGCGCATAGGCACGGTCCCTGAAATCAGATACCCGAGCTCCGAGTGACCCACCTTTCCGGTCACCCAGGCGGCCACCGCTGAGCCAGCCGCGGCGCTCCCACCCAACGAGCGTCCCAAGGAGGTGCAGCCCCGGGACGGCTGGCGAGTCCTCCCTAGCTGGGGAAAAGACAAACTTCCCCTCGCCCGCCCCGCCCCCACTCCCACCGCTGCCCTGGGGCCGCTTCAAAGGCTGGGTCACGGTTCGTTTGTGGGTGGCTTGACCGGGGCACCCCGGAGTAGCCAGCAGGCGCTGCCTTCGGGGCACTGGGGTTGTTTGCCAAGGACAGCTGGGCTGTGCGCTGCTTGCAGCCCCTGCATTAGGAAGTCGGCCCCAAGCAGGCTGGCAGGATCCCCCATAAAAGCCCTGCCTTTCCCTGGAGAACTCCCGGTGTTCTGCGCAGGGCCCTGCCTCGCCTTCGGAGGGAGGGACGCCAAGACCCGGGGTCTCTCCTTTCAGTTTCACTCCAAGGCGCAGACTGCTTTCGGGACGTCTTTAACTGGGTACATGTGTATTGGGTCACGCCTATAATCCCAGCACTTTGGGAAGTTGAGGTAGGAGGATCACTTGTGGTCAGGAGTTTGAGACCACCCTGGCCAACATGGTGAAACCCTGTCTCTACTAAAAATACAAAAAATTAGCTGGGCGTAGTGGCCTGCACCTGTAATGAGGATGGCACTCCGCCAGGAAGCCCCAGGTGGGAGGCATGCCTTCTGGAGGGAGCTGTGCTTAGAAGAACGTGGAAGACAGCTGGAGGCTCTGACAAGGCCGCGTGTAAAAACATCATTAACGATCATGATCTTTTTCCTCCAATGGACCCATTTTCGTCTTCTAATTCCACAGTCAGAGGAATGAGCAGTGAAGGGGGAGGAAGGCTGCCCTATGCGTTGTAGGATGTTTAGCACCTGCATACACACACCCATAGTGACAGCCAAATGTCTCCATACATTGCTAAATGCCCCTTGGCAGGGAGTGCCTGGAAGGAAGAACATGGATCCCCTTTACCTGTACATTCTAGGGGCCCAGCACAAGCCCGCAGCCTCTGTGCTGAAAACAGCTCTAAATTATCCCAATCCCCACACCCAGGTAATCATTTTAAAGATGAAGCAGTTTTGCCGTCTGGAGGACTTATGCTTCTCCAAGGCCATAAAAGAGGGAGTGAGAACAAGGTCTTACTTAGATGTGGAATCTAAAATAAAGTTAAATACATAGAAACAAAGAGTAGAAAGGTGGTTACTAAGGCCTGGGACGGAGAGGAAATGGGGACATGGAGGTCAAAGGACAAAATGAATAAGTCTACAGATTTATACAACCACAGGACAATAGCTAATAATGTAGCAAGGTATATTGAAAATTTGTAGAGTCCATTTTAGGTGCAACACACACACAAAGAGATCACTGTGGAAGGTGACAGATACGTTACTTTGCTTGACTGTAGTAATCATTTCACTTTGTATATCAAAACATGTTGCACACCTTAAATATATACAATTTTTTAAAAAATGGTAAGTGACAGAAATTAATCCAGATCTGTCTGATCCACGAGTTTGTGCTCCGCTTGCTAGGAATGCAGTAGGTGCTTAGGAAATTCATCCTGAATGGTGCACATAGAAACATGGGACTGTACCATTTTTTTTTTCTTTTTTTGAGACAGAGTTTTGCTCTTTTTGCCCTGGCTGGAGTGCAATGGCATGACCTCCACTCAATGCAACCTCCACTTCCCAGTTCAAGTGATTCTCCTGCCTCAGCCTCCTGAGTAGCTGGGATTATAGGTGCCCACCACTACGCCCAGCTAATTTTTTGTATTTTTAGTAGAGATAGGGTTTCACCATGTTGGCCAGGCTGGTCTCAAACTCCTGACCACAAGTGATCCTCCTACCTCAGGTTCCCAAAGTGCTGGGATTATAGGTGTGACCCACCACGCTCCACCAGGACTGTACTTTCTGCACCAAACCCTGGAGCCATGGCGTGATGACCTTAAGAATTATTTGTTTTTAACATTGTCTAGGAAAATAAAAAATAAAAAACACCTGTCACCACTGGATCTTTAAAATTAACTTCATATGTGGCTTTCATGTTTTCTGTTTGTTCTCTTTGTTAAATCACAAGCTCCAAAGCCAAGAAGTTTATCTCCTCCCTCTCTGACAACTTGACACAGCACCCTAAATAATATGCTTTGCGGGCGGCCTCTCCAGCCCCAATGTGTGCTGCCTGACCTGCTTGTTAACATTGGTGGAGAAACGCCTAACTCGTTTCCTCACTGGTGCACTGCATTCAACTGAGGAATGTAGATGGCCTCTCACCTGTCCCACAAAACTCACAGGAGTAGCATTATGGGGGTAAACATGGACTCCTGGGGCTTTCCTACCTGCAGGTGAGGACCCTGAATAGACTTGTCAACAGAAGACTCTGGTTGTTTGCTATCCCACAGGCAATTCATTTTGAATGGGACACATAGAAACACTGGACTGTACTAGGATGTACTCACAGATTCCCCTGCCCTGAACACACACACACACACACACACACACTCTCTCTCTCTCTCACTCACTCGTGCATACATGCCTCCCCCTGCCCACTTCTCTCTTTTCAAAGCTGTAAACAAACTAGGAACCTCACCCTCAGCCCAGCCATAGAGCTTTCCTTGGAAATTCTCCTCTTAGTCATTCTCCGAGACCCTATGACATGTCAGGCACGTTCACATAATTCATTTCTCTGAATCCTCACAATAGGTAGAGATTATTACTCCCATTTTACAGATGGGGAAATCGAGGATGGGGGATTAAGTGACCCACCAGAAAGGTCCAGAGGCACCAAAAGCACATTCCATGCTATTGTGCTTTCTCCCTGTGCTCAGACAAGACTGTGCCAGGCAGACCAGTGGCATTTTGGGGAGAGGTGTTGTGGGTTTTTTTGTTGTTGTTAGTCACCAGCCTCAATGCTTCTCCTCTCCCTATCATATTGAATAATTCCAATTTGTTCTGCTCGGACAAGATTTCCATTATTATCTGGTTCCTTTCATCAAATTCTTCTTTCCCAAAGAGTGAACACAAATTACAAATGCATGGCCAAACAGGGAGAATCAAGCTAATTAAAATTCACTCTTTACAGTATAGATGGAAAAATACATTTTGAAAAAAGGTCCAGGAGAATTAAATTTTCATTTTACCTTTGCTTTTCCTAAGGCCAATTAAAAACGGTTTAATGTGCTCTCACTTGTTGATAACAGACTAGTATAGCACCTGGCCACGGTCTATGTAATCTGGATGTTTTATTAGCATATTGTGTACAGGAAAGAAAGAAAAGGAATGAATAATGAAAGGAAAAATACTCTGGGTATCCTTTGATCTCAACACAACTCAGGGCTCACTCTGCTCCAGGGCCTGTACAAATTTATATTCCCATTCTACACATTCCAGGTGACTTTTAAGGTCACGTTGCCTAGTGGTTTTCACATTTTTTTAGAACAAAATCTCATTTTTGAAATATAATCTTACACTGGCACCCAAAGTAAACACACACACACACGCGCACACACACACACACACACACACACACTATATTTTTGTCAATTTAAATTTATATACTCAAATTGATAACATTGACTCATTTAAAGTCAATACACAATTTACAGTAAAAAGTGAATAATATATTGTTTACAAAGGTTTATCATGACTATTAAGCTACAAAGAAAGCTTAAAATATCTTCAAAAATTACAAATAATATATATAACTTGATTTATAATATAATATAACTAAATAACAAAACCAGAAAACTGAAGCATAAAACTCTACCATCTCAAACATCTTTTTAAAGTCTCTGGAACAATTTTTGGTCAAAGAGAAAAGCAAAACTCAAATTGCAGATTATCTAGAGAATAATGATCACAAAAATATTGCATATCAGAACCTGCGGAAATAGCTAAAGGAATCCCCGAAAAACTCATAGCACTAATTAGTTCTAATAAAAAAGAAAGAATAAAAATACATCAAGTTATAGAAACAATAAAATTGAAGAAGACTGTAAGAAGGGATTAATAAAGATCAAAGTATTAGTAAAACTAATAAACTCAAAACCTTTTTTGTTTTGTTTTCTTTTGGAGATGGGGTCTTGCTATTTTGTCCAGGTTGGGCTGAACTTGCAATCCTTCTGCCTCAGCCTCCTGAGTAGAGGGGACTACAGGCATTTACCACTGCAGGCAGCTAAAACTTATTTTTTAAGTAGGACCTCTGCTTCTCACCTTAAGAAAAATGAGTACTAGACTGGCAGCCTACAGCCACCCCTAGCCGCACACTGCAGCACAGACTGTGATCTCTCAGGGAAGATAAGCTAATAAGGTAAGCCCTGGGATCACCAAGGCCTGCTGTGCGGAGGCACTTTGCAGACCGTGGGGCAGAGACGGAACCCCAAGGAGGGCACTCCTGAGTTAGGCAGTCAGAGATTGGAATTCAGGAGGAGGCTGCTGGACTTTACAAAGAAGAGTACTGGAAAGGTGGAAACTACACAGAGAAAGAGTTCCAGAGATCTATGCAGAAGTCCTCTTGAGTCTTGCCAAATACTAAATGGAAACATGCAGATGAAACTCCAAGAGCTAGGCGAAATATCACACTGAAGAAAGAGCAATGTGTGGGGTGGGGTAGGGGGTAATTCAGGAGTGATAAGCCAAACAGTTCCTAAAGTCATGCAGAGCTGGGGAATGTTAAAGTTTCCACCAACCATAATGAAGAGACCTCACTGGACAAACCCTGGAAGGGCCAGAGCTTGGTAGCACTAAACTAGCCACAGACCTAAGGTTGCTATAGACCTGCCTTAACAAAGACACTGACCTGAGCTATCTAACATTGTAGCCATTAGCCACCTGTGGCTAATAAACACTTGAAATAATAGGCTAGTCCAAACTGAAATGTCCCTGAAATATA